ATAGCTTTAGGAATTTCTGTGATTCAGAGTGGAAATTGAGGGTTACTCTCATACTCTGAGATTCTTTTTCCTTGATTGAGTTAGGAGCAAAATGCTTACTGTTAATTCTTCAAGTAGAGGCAGTCAGCAATTTCAGATAAATGTGTGGGATAAAATGTGTGGAATGTGGGTTGAAAGAGAAACTTTTACATATGATTAAATGTGGTTTTGAGCAAGTAGGGAAGGAAGGCATCACTTTCTCATTTATTCATTCTGTATTTATGACTACTGCATTAGGCTCGGGGAAGAAGTATAGATTTCCATGTAACAGAGTCAGGTTGGACTTCAGTCTCAAGTGTCCATCACAGGACCCTGGACCTGGCTCGTCCTCTTTGTATTAGTGTTTTACTTCTTGTCTCCAGGAGACCGTGCTGGCTTCCCGTTTTGCTTCTAATCGTCACTCATGAGTCACTGTGAGTACTGCAGAGTTGCAAATCACATTCCAGTCTAGTGTGTACTGCTGCGGGGTCTTGGGCTACAGCTCTTTGCCTGTCTTCTGCTGGTTGTGATGGAGCAGTGAGAACAATTGCATAAGTGAATTAACCAGAGAGGGTGAAGAGAGAGCGCACTACCTGTTTTCTACCCATTTTTGTTTAGTAACAAGATATATTTAGGAGTAGACAGCTTCTTCCTAGTTGCCAATATACTAGGCCATACTCTATGATTAGAAAGCCTTGCATCTACTTTATGGGAAAGGTATATTTGCACCTATGGCAAATAAAGTCAATCATTTCTTAAAAGAGGAATTGGTCTTACAAATGGACTTAGTGGCTTGGCACATACAAAATGATCCTTTGAAGAAAACCTCAAAATTTACTGTAGAATTTTTTAAAACTCCATCAAATAAAATCTGGAAGCAAAGAAAATTCTTCCTGAAAAATTTTAAAATAATATTTTGATTTTGAATATTTAGGATTTATTCCCATAATAATTTGATTGATTTATTTATATCTTTTATATTTCAGGGAGCTTTGCAGTATAAAACTTTTTCTAACTAGATGAGGCGGTACATACCTGGAACCCCTGTACCAGAGGAGGCTGAGGCAGAAGGGGTCAAGGCCAGCCTGTGCTACATAGTCTCTGTTTTAAAAAAAAAACCAGCAGAAAATTCCTACCTGTAATTCTCTACTATTTTCGTTTCTTGGGATCCTTTTTAGGGTTTATGTAATTAGCATCTGTGATTATTTATGGAATTTTATGTTTCATTCTAAACCTTGAACTTTCTTTCTTTTTTTTTTTTTTTTGGTACCTGGGATCAAACTCGGGACCTTGTGCTTGCAAGGCCGGCGCTGGAACCACTGAGCTAAATCCCCAGCCCTACCTTGACCTTTCTTACTATCAACTTTTTGAAAAGCCTCTCTGAAGTTGTTCACACCTTAGCATGTGTGACTTAGGGGCTTGAAGGAGGTTATTGTGAGCAGCAAGGTGAATGTCAGACTAATTTTTCAACCAGAACACATTACCTGCAATTTGAGGTATGGATGAAACAGCAAATTCCTCTTGGCCTGGGCTTCTGTGAGAAAAAGGTGGATTTATGCAGGGTTTGCTCAAATTACAAATGAGGGGATACTAAAAGTGTTTTAGCTTTTGGGAGTTCAAAGTGGCCAGCCAAACAAACATCATGTGATCTACCTGAAATAAAGCTTAGTTCTTGGAAAGAAGGTGAGACCATTGTGCTTTGCTGGGAATGGAAAAGATAAAGAAAACAAAGAACAATACACATACACCTACTGTCAGTTATCATGCTAGATGTAATAAGCTGGCATTTTCCAGTCCTTTCGTATTAAGGGAAGGATATTAAAAAGGAAAAGATTTCAGGATTTTATTTTTAAACATATTTCATCAAAAATACCTGTTGCATAAATAATGTAAGGAGTAAAAGCAGATATTAGTCTGAAAGAAAAAAAAATTGTGTATCTTCTAGATTTCAAATAAACTGTATTGAATTATTTTATAACTCTGTGAGGTACACTCAGGTGCTGTGGAGGGTTTCAGTTTGCAGATCTCTGAAGACACTAAGACATGTGCCCACACTATGACACAGGCGCAAGTCCCTGGTCCCTCTTTTACACGGACAGTTGCAGAGATAAGAGGAGCAGCCTCTACAGTGGATAGAAATACATGCTTTTAAGTTCTTGGAAGTAGAAAGAAGAAGTAGAAAACAAAAGCAGAAACTATAGGTGAGGAAATAGACCTGTGGAAGATTTGTTTCTAAACCAAAGGTCATTCTGGAAACTTTAGGAACTTGAGAATATCAGGCAAGATTGAGTTCAATCCTGTATAATAATAGAGCAAGACAGAAGAGCTTAAATAAGGCAGAGGTAAATTTTTCTTTCCTCTAAACCGAAGGTCATTCTGGAAACTTTAGGAACTTGAGAATATCAGGCAAGATTGAGTTCAATCCTGTATGATAAATAGAGCAAGACAGAAGAGCTTAAATAAGGCAGAGGTAAATTTTTCTTTCCTCTTTTAAAAGTCTGTAGCTTGGGCCAGGGATTTAGATCAGTGGTTTCACCACCTGCTGCACAAGCTCACACCCTAATTCAATCCCCCGGTACCAAAAAAACCACAAAAGTCTGCAGCTAGGCATTCAAGAGCTGGTGTGACAGCTCTGTAGTTGGCATGGACTCGGGCTCCTTATCCCTTAGTGGTGGGCCCACCCTCAAGTTTGCCTACTTAGTTAGAGTTGTAAGACACTGCTGCTGTAGCTGTCACTTCTGCGCTCCAGGCAGGAAGATGGGCAGGGTCAAAGGGCATACTTCCTAGTAGAACTTCCACCCCCACCCCATCCCAGAAAGCTTTCCTGGAAGCCCCACCCCATCTGTAAAGAGCATTGCTTTTCAAAAAATAGAGAAGCTAAATATGGGCTAGGCAAACCTTAGTTTCTGCCATACCAAGTGATCATATTCTTTTTTTTTTTTTTTTTTCTGGTCCCGGGGATCAAACTCAGGACCTTGTAGTTGTGAGACAGGCCCGGCACCACTGAGCTAAATCCCCGGCCCTAGATGGCTAGACTTTGGGATACCTGCAAAATTTTAGAGTAGGAAAGTAGCTATGTTTGGTGAACTTGGTTTTTAGTTTGTGGATAATTGATTGGTTCCACAGTGTTGAGGACTTATGTGCTAGGCACTGGGTTATAATAGTAAGTTAAGCATAGTCCTTCCCCTCAAAGGGTTTATAGGCTAATGAGAAACAAAATAGGTTTTAAATAAGTAAATTTTAAATATGTTGACCATTAATAAAGGGAAATAAAGAGTGCTTGGAATTGTGTGACAGGAAAGATTCTTAAGGCTATGACAAGACCTACACACCGAGATTTAAAGGATGCTTGGGAACCAAGTCAGAGAGTTGGGGATGGGTTGTGGGAGGAGGAAGACATGAGGGGAAGGCATATTCCAGTCAGACCAACTCCCAGTCTGATAATTTCCATAATATTTCCCCTTTATTCTATTATTTTCTTACTTCTTCATCAGAGGGAATCAGTGGGAATTTCCAAGCCACAAAGATAGTCAGGGGCTAAATGTTCTTACCTGGAATGGCCAAAGAGACTCCATCCTTTCTACTTAACTTGTTTTTACTCTAGACGAGTGCCTGCCTCCATAGGCTGCACAGGGAGTGTTAGTAACCAAGGAGGGAGGTGGACAGATGACTGGGCACATTGAAGTCCGTTGTGCCAGCGTACATCTGGACTTGCTCTCAGTGTGGGACTGGGAAGGCAAAGATTGGTTCTGACTAGGAGGTGCTGATATGACCCCATTCCCCTTCCAGGAAGTGGACATTGTGGTGGCACCGTGCCAAGGCCTCCGGCCCACAGTAGATGTTCTGGGTGACTTGGTGAATGATTTCTTGCCTGTGATAACCTATGCACTCCACAAAGGTGAACTGTCTGAGAGGGATGAGCAAGAGCTTCAGGAAATCCGAAAGTATTTCTCCTTCCCCATATTCTTTTTCAAAGTGCCGAAGATGGAGAGAATAGACTCTGCTCCTAGAATGGAGAGTGAAAGATCGCTTCTGTATCGTCAGCTAGTTGACCTGGGCTACCTGAGCCCCACGCACTGGAACTGTGGGGCCCCTGGCCAGGACACCAAGGCTCAGAGCATGTTGGTGGAACAGAGTGAGAAGCTGAGACACTTGAGCACTTTTTCCCACCAGCTGCTGCAGGCTCGTCTGGTGGATGCGGCCATGGCCCTGAACCTGGTGCACTGCCACTGCCTTGACATCTTCATTAACCAGGCCTTTGATATGCAGCGGGACCTGCAGATTACTCCCAAAAGGCTGGAATACACTCGGAAGAAAGAGAACGAGCTGTATGAGTCACTGATGAATATTGCTAACCGAAAGCAGGAGGAAATGAAGGATATGATTGTTGAGACTCTTAACACCATGAAGGAAGAACTTCTGGAAGATGCTACCAACATGGAGTTTAAAGGTAGGTCCTGGAGAGTTTGATAGGGCACTGTGAGTTTAGGAGCGCCAACTCTTCTAACTGGAAATTGGTTCTATTGAGTCTTTTTTTTTTGGTACTGGGGATCGAACTCATGTCCTTGTGCTTGTGAGACAGGGGTGTTACCACTGGGCTAAATCCCCGGCCCTCCATTGATTCTTAAGGTTACAGTAGGAGCCCACCTCAAGTCATTTAGCCAAGGTAGTGTGTCTTGCTCTCAGTGACCTTGCTGGAAGATTCCACCGTCATTCCCTATTTAGCAGTAACTTTTGGTAAATTCATCCTAATAACTCTGTAATCTCCACTGTCTTCCTGGACAACAGCGGAGCTGGGGAAGAGCTGCCTGAAGAATTTTGCTGTGTCATGCTTTGTCCTTTGCTCTGTCAGCATGGCTTAGGTGCCCTCCTTGTTTGTTTATTTATTTAGCAGTGCTAGGCATCAGACCCAGGGCCTCACACCTGTAGGCAAACATTGTACCACTGAGCCACCCCCAGCTCCATCTTTTTGTTCTCAGGGTCTCATTTTCTTTCCACACTGCTCCTGAAATGCAACTCGGGAGCATTTCCCAAAGTAGTGTCTCAGTTTTTCTAGCAGTTCTGTCCTTCACAAATGGTTACTTAACGCATTTAGGCAAAAACAACTGGTCAGGTCTTTTGGTGTCTGAGGCTTAGATGCTGCTGACTTTGTATACTGACTGCTGTCCAAACCTCCATGCACGGACACAGTTGGACTACCCAGTAAAGAAAATGGCACAGTGTGCAAGTTACTCTTTAGATTTGCAGTGACAGGCATACATCCAAATCACCTGGGAGGCCTCCCGAAAATACTGGTGCTCAAGACCACTAAAGACTTAATCAGGATTTCTGACACAGGACCTGACTTCATTATTTTTCAGTATCCTCTTTAGGTGGGTTTTGCTTATCTTCATTTTTTTAGATGACAGAACTAAGGCTTAAAAGAGTTAAGTAATTTGGGGCCGGGGATTTAGCTCAGTGGTTCTGCTGCCTGCCTCGAAAGTGCAAGGTCCTGAGTTCGATCCCCTGTACCAAAAAAAACCCCCCAAAAAACAACTAAGAGTTAAGTAATTTGCCCAAGGCCCCACAGCTAGTAAGTGGTAGAGGTAGGATTAAATCTAGGCAGTCTGGTTCCTTAGCTTGTACTTTAAATTTTTATGTTTTATTCCAACCTCGCCCCCCCCCAGTACTGGGAATTGCACCCAGGGCTTTCTTTCTGAGCTACATCTCCAGCTCTTTTTTTGTTTTTGGTACCAGGGATCGAACTTGGGTCCTTGCGCTTGCGAGGCAGGTGGCAGAACCACTGAGCTAAATCCCTGGCCCTCCAGCTCTTTTTATAGGAAAATTTTTTTTTTAATTTTGAGAGAGAGTCCTGCTGAGTTGCTGTATTGCTCAGACTGAGCTCCAACCTTGGTTGTCCTGCTTCAGCCTCCCAGACCCTGAGGTCACAGGTGTGCCCCACCAAGCCCAGAGTTTACTGCTTCCTAATCTGTTTCCAGTTACTGGTGCTACTTCTTCTGGTACCCAGTTTTAAAACCTTGACATATCTTTAACTTTTTTTCCTGTGTTCCCATGTCTAACCAATTTCCAAATCCTGATGAATCTTCTATAGCTCATATCCACTTGTGCTTTTCTCCTCCATCTTCTGTTATCTAATCAATCCCTCTGACTTTTCTTCTTTGTGTACTTTATTGGCTTCCTGTTCCTACAGATTAAGTTTAAACTCCTCAGCCTAGTATCCAAAATCTTCCAAAGCCTAGCCCTTAACCAACTTTGCCAATCTTATTTCCTACTATGCACCTTCCCATATATATGTATGTGTATATATATATATATATATATATATTTTTTTTTTTTTTTTTTTTTTTTTTTGGTACCGGGGATCGAACTCAGGACCTTGTGCTTGGGAGGCAGGCGCCAGCACCACTGAGCTAAATCCCTGGCCCTCCTTCCTATAATGTTTATTCGGGTTGGTCTTAACTTCTTGCTGTCTTCCATACACTCCTTTGATCTTTTCTATGCTCACACCCTGCCTTAAGCTTGAAAGTCTTTTATTTGTGAATTTCCAAATCCTACCTACCTATCCTTCAAGGCCTCTCCAAAAGCCATTGTTTGCATTCATCTTTAAGTTTTTAGCTACTAACAGGAACACTTATCTGAACTCCTACAGGATTATCTGTACAGACAGACACAGACTGTGGTTTTTTTGCGGGGGTGGCAGGGCACTGCCAGGGATGAAACCCAGTGCCTCATGCATGCAAGGCAAATGCTCTATCACTGAGCTGTAACAATGAGGGGACCTGGGCCATGCTGACAGACTCTTGAATGCAGTACATCTTGGGGAATGAAAAAGTCTCTGAATAATGGCTATCTAGCTGTGTCATATTTATAAATATGAAGGAAATGAAGTTGACTTTATCAAAGATAAGATGCCCGATTTCTTATTAGTCTTTCTAAAGATGAACAAGATATGCCTTTGCTAAATTTCCACTGCGGGGAGGAGTGGCTAAGAAATGCTCACTTGTGGTGAAATTCTAGGAAATCCTCTCATATTTAGTTAAGGACACTGGAATATCAATCAATGCTGGCATCACAGTACATATGATGAAGGGAAGTCAGGGCAGCTAGGTTGGGCAGACAAGGGAATAGGAACTATTTGTCTGTATTGTATCAGCCATACCATTTGGTGCCTGGGATAAGGTGGTTAACTAAAGAGACACGAGGGTCCCTGGGAATGAGTAGACCAGGTGTCTGACTCTGTCCGCTACCTTGTGGATTTGTGGATGTAGGTGGGTACATGTTAGATACGGCGTGCATGTCTGATTCTTACCTTGTTCTGAATCTGTTCAGAGTACCCTTGGAGCAATGATAAGTAGACTTAAAAGAGAGCTGCCACATATCCTGTGGAGCCAGATTTCTGTTAGTGTTATTTATCTTTAAATATAAAGCTGACTGCATGCACCCTGGGTAAATGATAAACATTCTTTATAAAATGCTGTTTTAAAAATGATAAAATATGCATTCATAGTACTTAATTCAAAGGCACAAAGACACTGTCCCCCACCATCTAGTCTAGTTCTCTTACGTTCTTTTATATCCTGCTTTTTCACTTTTTCATTATATCTCTTAGAGCACTTTCCAAAAAGGTACATCGAAGTCGGTTTTCTTCCAACCTTAATTAATATATTTAGCTGTTCTCTTACTGACAGACATTTAGACTGGTTTTTTTCTTTTTGCTATGACAAAGTATATACATTGGTCATCATTGTAGATACATGTCTTTGAGATTTGTAAGGATATATTTCTAGAAAGAGAATTCCTAGACAGTTCAAACAGTGTGTGAATTTTTCATCGTTGGTTGTTGGTGTAAAATTTTGATAGATAACTGCCAATTTTCCTCTGAAGAGGTGATATCAATTTAAGTTTCCACCAGTGAACTTGAGAGTGCCTTTGTAGGGGCAATCACTTTTTAAATGCTTGTGTCCTCAGGCTTACAAAGTAGATTTTTTTAAATTCTGAGAGGTAGTGGCATGTAGGGCCAACAAATGAGTTTTGCTTTTTATTTATCTAGTAATTGATTATAATACAATTCCTGACTCTTGGCTTCTTGTCATTAATAAGCGAGGCAGTGTGATAGTTTATAAAGATCCTAAACTTTGGAATCAGTGAGCTTTGGGTTCAAATGCTAGCTGTATTACTTCCTAACTACACAGCCCCTTCCCAGCGCTCTCTTTGTTTTGTCTCTGAGACTGTTTCCTAATCTATAAAATATGACCAGTAACACACACCTGGCATAGTTGTTGTGAAAATAAAATTAGTTACATATCTGAAGTGTTTATTATGTGTGCCTTTCAAGTAGTTTACACTTACTGTTTTCCTGCATTTCTCTTAGGACCTTATCTGCCACAAGTAGTTGAACATTACACGCTCTCTGCTAATGCTGGGGGTCAGAGTTCGTCACCCAGCCAGGTCTTTTTGTGGCCCTCCTCGTGCCAGTTCATTGGCTGTGGCTCAGGAACTGCTTGACCCTCTCCCTCACAAGTAGCCAGCTCATTTCTCTGCCTCCACAGATGTCATTATCCCCGAGAATGGAGAAGCAGTGGGCACCAGAGAGATCAAATGCTGCATCCGGCAGATCCAGGAACTCATCATCTCCCGGCTTAACCAGGCAGTGGCTAACAAGCTGATCAGCTCAGTGGATTACTTACGTGAGAGCTTTGTCGGCACCTTGGAGCGGTGTCTGCAGAGCCTGGAGAAGTCGCAGGACGTCTCAGTTCACATCACCAGTAATTATCTCAAACAGGTATGCAAAGAGTGGTTTCTGAGGGCCGGGGATTTAGCTCAGTGGTTTCGCTGCCTGCTGCGCAAACACAAGGACCTGAGTTCGATCCCTGGTACCAAAAAAAACCAAACAAACAGTGGTTGCTGAGACACCTTGGTACAGATAGCAGTGGACAGTTCACACTCAGTCCCCACTTGAAATTAGCCAAGAATTTCCCTTTAACTGTTTCCCCACCCAGTCTGAATTCTACTTTTCCTATCACCTTACCACTGCCTGTGCAAGGTGCTGGTGAGCTGTGAAGTGACAGTTGAGAAAGAAGTAAAGAGGCCTAATTAGCCATAAAGCAGATGATCAACTTGAGGTGACTCTGTAATACACTGAAGGATAAACTTGGAAACCTCGAGACTGCTCTATATTCTTGGAGTAAATATTTGTTTCATTTTAAAATAGCCACTCTACTCAGGGCCTATCTCCCTTTATGTGTTCTCTTTCAGATTTTAAATGCCGCCTATCACGTTGAAGTCACATTTCACTCAGGGTCCTCAGTTACACGGATGCTCTGGGAGCAAATCAAGCAGGTAGGGATTAGCAAGAGAAAAAGTTTTCTGTCCCTAGTAGGCCCATGTGTGTCCTAGTCACTCTGTAGAAAACAGAGAGACCTGGGGGCTGCAGTTAAGGTAGGGTGTCCATGGCTTCTGGTTTGCCTGCTGGAAGAATTATGGTTTATGTCTGTTCTCAAATAATTACTAACAGTGCTCCCTTAACTCTTAAAAGGGGTGGGTTTAAATGATATTTCATGTAGCCATAGGACTCCACTTCACTAGCTCCTTCATATTTCTTTCTTCCAGCCTAAATGTCTTGGAATTAGATGTTGTCATTTCCAGAGGCCAGGAGTATGGTTCTGGTCTGGAATTAGACCTGGGTCTTGTGTAGAGCTGTTTCCTAATTTCAGATTCAGGCACTTCCTGATGCTGAATTTAACTTCCTGAAGGTTCTTGAGCAGCTATAGTAGGTCTAGTGTTCCTCCTCTGGGCAGAGTCCTGAGTTGGAAAGGAACCTGAACTTCACACAGCACCTGTCTCAGGAGCCTGCTCCTAAAGCGTGCGAAGCCCGGAGAAGGAGGGCATTGTCGGGCCACCTAGTAGTTCCTTTTTCCATCCTCAGCCATCCCACTGTCCGCATCTTGACAGATCATCCAGCGCATCGCGTGGGTGAGCCCCCCTGCCGTCACTCTGGAGTGGAAGAGGAAGGTGGCCCAGGACGCGATCGAGAGCCTCAGTGCCTCCAAGCTGGCCAAGAGCATTTGCAGCCAGTTCCGGACTCGGCTCAATAGTTCTCATGAGGCTTTTGCAGCCTCCTTGCGGCAGGTTGGTCTGTAGGAAAGGAGATGCAGGTGGATATGCAGAAAAGAGCCTCAGCCCTGGGCAAATGTTATACTTTATATAATTTTAAAAATGATGCTTGTAATCCCAGGATTCTGGGAGGCTGAGACAAGAGGATCACAGGTTTGAGCCTGGCCTAGGCAGTGGTGAGGCCATGTCTTGAAATGTTTTAAAAAACTGGTTCTAAAGGGCTGAGGATGTAGCTCAGCACGGAGGTCCTGGGTTCAATCCCCATTACCACCATAAGAAAAAAAATCAGTGTATTTTTTCCTACCCTGTTAAGGGACAATGTCATGTTACGGGAAATTTCATTAATAGGTTTCCATGTGGATTTTTTTTTCTAATCCTAAGGAGCATGAGGGAGCTCAGTTAATCCCCCCTTTCACTAAGGGAGAATAACAATAGAGAAGGAGGAATTTGTTTGTGTAGTATTTTAGACATGAGTGACAAAAGGGATGATTTTCCAACTTCTGTTCTATCTAGTTCACAGTTATGTGATGTTTTATTTGCTTGTCTTCAGTGGGGCTGAATAGATGTGATTATGAATCCAAAAGACAAAAGTATTATTTATCGATAGTATATGTGCCAGTCCCTGTGCTAAACATGCCACATACATGTGTAATTTAGCTCTTACAGTTACCGTCCGAGGTCTGTGTTACTATTCCTGTGTAACAGGTGAGGAAGCTGAGGCTAGGGATAAGCAGTACGGCTTTTTATGTTTCCCTCTCAGCTGGAGGCTGGCCACTCAGGCCGGCTGGAGAAGACAGAAGATCTGTGGCTGAAGGTTCGGAAAGATCACGCCCCACGCCTGGCCCGCCTTTCTCTGGAGAGCCGGTCTTTACAGGATGTCTTGCTGCATGGTGAGTCCTTGTTTTTTCCAAGTACACTGAAGGAAGGTTCGGGACTCCTGGACCTTGTGTCTGGCCTCCAAGAGTCCCACTGTCCCATGCAGCTTCCTTGCAGAGCTACCTAAGCACTTGCCGATGTTATTTTTGAATTCCTGAAGTCTGTCTGGTCCTGATATTTATACAGTTTAAATAACATGACAGAGTTTAACCAGCTAGGCTATTTTCTGCTGGTTTAGAGTGACTGCACTAGAATTTCTTCTTGGCATGATTGTGACTTCCTGGCCTCTAAGCAGAGGCTGCCCAGTCAGCTCCCATCCCTCCTCCCTTAGCTCTGTCTTTGCACCTTACAGGTAAACCTAAACTGGGACAGGAGCTGGGCCGAGGCCAGTATGGGGTGGTGTACCTGTGTGACCACTGGGGAGGACACTTCCCTTGTGCTCTCAAGTCGGTTGTCCCTCCCGATGAGAAGCACTGGAATGATCTGGCTTTGGAGTTTCACTACATGAGGTGGGTCCTCACTTCATTCATCTTTATGGGAAAAATCCAGAGAAGAAGCCTGAGGGCTGAAATAAGTTCTATATCAAGAGCTACAGCGTGCCGTGTCTCTCCGTATGTAGGTTTCAATGCGTAGGCTAGTGTTTGGGGACTAGCTCTCTTTAAAGCCATCACTGTCTTTGCCTGCTCTTTCCCCACCATCTTCAGACTCCTTGTTCTGTTATCTTCTTCCTCAATCATTAAGGCTTGTTGGTTTTTAACTTCCATGCTGCTTTGGCCTGGGTGGAGGAGCCATTCTCTTTGTGCAGTGTCTGCACTGAAAGCCATTCCCTGTGGACCTGGACTGAGTGTGGCTTTGGGGTTATTTCTTCCTCATCCTGGCCTGTCATGTAACCTGACCTCTGTCATTCCCACAGGTCTCTGCCGAAGCATGAGCGGTTGGTGGACCTCCATGGGTCAGTCATCGACTACAACTATGGCGGTGGCTCCAGCATTGCAGTACTGCTCATCATGGAGCGGCTGCACCGGGACCTGTACACGGGGCTGAAGGTGAGGTGAGGCAAGGTGGCATGAGAGCCAGCCAGACCCACCGCTTTCTTCCCGGCCTTGTATCCTTTCCCATTTATTCAGAGCCTCTTGCTTTCATAGGCGGTTGTCGGAGTATCAGGCTTTAGTACACTTACTTCCCAAAAAGCTAAACCTGTTTATTGCCCCAGCGTGTATCCAGCATACTGCCATTCACCACTTTGGCCTCCAATAGTGGTGGTCAAAATCGAGACCCCTTAGAAGAGCAAAAATGCTTGCTGTGACCTTCTTTCTCTTTTTTGTTTTCACTCGAGAAAGCCAGTTTTGTTTATTCAACAAGTATTTTGTTAGTGACTACTTTGTATTAAACACCAGTAGGTGGTAACAAAAAGTATAATTTTGGGGGCCTTTTAAGAGAATTATAGTCAGTGACTATTTCATGACAGTGTGGAGTTTGAGTTTGACATGTGTACCTCAATGGGCAGGATCTGGGCAGATGGAAGCAGAGGCCTTGCTGAGGAAGGAGCAGTGTAATATCAGGGCGTTCAAAGGCCAGTGAAGACTCTAAGCATGTTTCAGGATCTGGTTCTTTTGGGGGAGTGGGGGGAGATAATGTGCAAAGAGAGATTAGGAGTAAATTATACAAGACCCAACGATTAAAAATTTCCATGAATGGGCCGGGGATTTAGCTTAGTGGTTCCAGCGCCTGCCTCGCAAGCGGAAGGACCCGAGTTTGATCCCTGGTACCAAAAAAAAAAAAAATTTCCAGGGCCGGGGATTTAGCTCAGTGGTTCTGTTACCTGCCTCGCAAGCGCAGGGACCCGACCCAAGTTTGATCCCCGGTACCAAAAAAAAAAAAAAAAATTTCCATGAATTGAAGTTTATTGTAGACAGTGAGAAGCTACATAATCTTCACATTCTAACACAAGCCCTGGTAAGGAGCAGAGCAGAAATCACTTATATGGCCTTGACTTTATTTTTAATGAATTGGGATATGCAACTGAATAACTGAGTGAAGGTGAAACCCTCATTTGGATATTGAGTTTCTCTCACCCAAAACTACCACCAAAAGGGAACTAGAGAGGTTTCTTTTGTCTGTTCCCTCCTCTGGGGCTGAGTAGAAGAGAAAAGCTGACCTCAGTATCTCGGTAGATCCTGTCTCCCAGATACCCCCTGTACAGGTTTATAAAGAGCTTCCAGAGGTGGGACAGAGAAAGCAGAAATACTCCCAGGAGGTGTGATGGAGGAGATTACTGTCCAAGTGATTTTCCCTTTTCACCTCCAAGGAGTTACACTTAGCAGCATCTGATGCTTTTCCCAAGTGTGCTAGAGAACCCATTCAGTCTTTTGGGTAAGTGATAGGACATTTTCTAGAAATTGAAGTGACCCTAAATTAAAGTAACATGAGTAATTTTGATATTTGAATTCATAAAACCAAACCTGGGCTAACAAAGCCTATCAAGCAAAGGAAGTAAATCTGCCTGAGGGACCTAAACACTCACTTTGAGCTTTGGCAGTTCCAGACCTGCTTACGTGTTAGAAATGAGCTCATGCTTCAGTCATGCAGTTGCACCTCTCTTTGTCACATCTGGGGATTCTCCAGCTGGCCCAACTGTAGCTTGCAAGGGATTTTATCTGGCTTTGTGTTCTTTACAGCTTGCTTTTTCTCTGCTTCTCTTTTTTACCTGCTTTCCTCTTCCCCTTTATTTCCCATTAACTTTCCTGTCCTCCTGTGCCCTGGTGAAGTCTTTTAGTCCCTCACCGAAGGAAGTCTCAGCTGGTTCAAGAGACCTGGACTGTGGAATTGCTTTGTTTGCAGTATATAAGCTCTTCTGTCTCCCCAGGCTGGGCTGACCCTGGAGAAGCGTTTGCAGATAGCACTAGATGTGGTGGAGGGGATCCGCTTCCTGCACGGCCAGGGACTCGTTCATCGTGATATCAAACTGAAAAATGTGCTGGTAAGTAAGAGCTGTTTCCCAAGAAGATAGCCTGCTTCTGTGGGCTAAGTGACTTTCAGGAGGGTGGGTGGAAATGTAGTTTGGTCCTATTAAAAGTCCAGGCGGAAGGAGTTCATAGGATATTGGATGGATGGTGTTTGGACTTGAAGCTTACAGAGGTGTTTCAACATAGACCTGCCTTATATTGTAAAGGATTCCCCCTCTACTGTTGAATATTTTTTAATCTTACAGAAAAGTTAAAAGAGTTGTACCAAGATCAGTGCTCTATTTCTCCTAGTATATTCTTTCACTTACTCTCTCTCTCTGTATATTCCCATGCACGCACACACATGCACACACACACACACACACACACACACACACACTTTTTTATTGTGCTTATATGAAAGTATTTAAGTATTCTTAAATACTTCACTGTGTATCTCCTAAGAAGAAAGATAGTCTTCTATATAAAGTGTCATTATCACATCCAAGAAATTTAACATTAGTGTAATACTATTATTTAATATATAATCTAGCCTGGCATGGTGGCATATGCCTAGAATCCCAGCACTCTGGGAGGCTGAGGCAGGAGGACTGGAAGTTCAGGTCCAGCCTGGGCAATGTAGCAACTTAATGAGTCCCTGGCTCAAAATTTTTTTTTAAAGTGCTGGGATGTACCTCAGTGTGAAGGCCCTAAGTTCAATCCCCAGTGCCACCAAAAAAAACCCAAAAAGTCTATATTAACTTGCTCCACTCTCTCCTCCCCCCATATATTCAGTTGCTCCAAAAATGGTCTGTTAATTTGATCCAGGATCTAGGCCAAGGATTCTGCAGTAAATTTTGTTGTCATCCTTCTTCAGTCTTTCTCAATCTAGAATAGTCTTTCTGCCTATTTTGGCTTTTGTTACACTGATATTTTTGAGGAGTCCAGGTCTTTGGTATTGCTTAAGGTTTGATCACAGATGACAGCTGCGTAAAGGCATTTTAAAAGGTAAGATAGTCATGAGCTCACCAGTTCTGTTATCTAAATTATAAAGAATCTTTTGACATATTTCTCTTGAAAAATTTTTAGAGTATCATTAAGGTGTTTCTGACATCATTTCAGTGACATAATAAAGATGACAACAGTTTGGGGGAAGGGAAAGATGCCCCTAAAAATGTAGGCTGAAACCTAATAGCTGAATGAGATAGCTAGATTCTCGTGGATTTTGTTTGTTTTTTGTTTTTTGTGGTGCTGGGGCTGGAGCCCAGGGCATTGTGCAGGGGAGAGCTAGGCAGGTACTCTTCCCCCGAGCTCCACCCCCAGCTCTCTCTTGGATCTTTAGAAAAGGAAACACCAGGAATTTCAGGGATCTCTTTAACTGGGTAGAAAACCTCAATTTTCTGCTCTGGGGTCAGAAGAAGAACCAAGAGCTGAAATATTTTCCTCAGTGTACAGTATTTTATTCTTCCAAGATTTATGAAAATCCTGATATATGCCAAGCACTATGCCAAGTGCCAGGGATACAAGGATGAAAGAGAGCCCATGCCATCAGATTGCGTACAGTATGGGGAGGAGGATAGTAATGGGAATGAATCTGGAGACAGGGAGTTTGGAGAAAGAATTTATTAACTACAGTATTTTGAGGTACCTGTTTTGAGCTTGGGTGTATAACTAAGAGCTGCGTGCGGGATCAGAGACAAGGTGACTGTCATCCTGTTTTGTTGGCAGCTGGACAAACAGAACCGTGCCAAGATCACTGACTTAGGATTCTGCAAGCCAGAGGCCATGATGTCAGGCAGCATTGTGGGGACGCCAATCCACATGGCCCCTGAACTTTTCACAGGTACAGCAGGGGGCAGGGAGTGGGTTTGGGCAGGACTCAGTACTCTAATGCTGAGTACTATCCCTAGGCTAAGTAGTAGGCACAGGTAACTCCTGGAAGTTCTGACAGGCAAGGATGAAACCAGCACTGGGAAACCTAACGCAGATGCGGGGAAAGTGCAGAGATAAAGGAATGAGAAAGAAAAGTACAGATGGGAGTCACCGAGTAGTCTTTTGGATGTCTCTGTGGGTTATGCCATACTTGCCAAAATCAGCCCATTATTTGATCATAAAGAATTGAGTGATTCTTATATAGTAAAATTGTCTTCTATCATTAAAGAATTTACAATTGGCATAGGTATATTTTGAGAGAGGTAAAATAATTTGGAAGCAGCTGAGGCAGTAGGTGATTAAATGGTAAAGTAATGGATGTATAATACACTGTTGGTGTTCAGCAAAGGTTGAAATGTTTGAAATGTTTGGTGGTTTTGTGATAGAGGTGAGATTTGGGTAGAACTTGAGTCAGATCTGGAAAAACTGGTGGGTGGAAAGGGAACTGAGGAGGTAGACTTTGAGGTAGGCAGTGTAGGCATGTTTTTATATGTTCCGTTTTGTTTAATCCTTTCAATAATTCTGTGATGACATTGAGGCACTTTTATGTCCATTTCACGGACAAAGTTGAGGCCACATTGATGAAGTAACTTTCTCCAAAAACACTGAGCCAGAAGGCAAATAGTTCTGGGATCTTAATCTAGGTATTTCTGTCTCCAGAGTCCAAGCATTTCTAATGAAGAGAAGAAACTCCTGGGGGTTAGAGAAGGGAAATACTGAGAAAAACTGCAGAACACAAATAAACACATTTCCATTTGGGAACAGTGTCAAACCAGGTTGGAGATAAATACATTGAGCTTGTAGTGGAGTTAGGGTCATTGTTCATAAAGTCAGGAGCTATGGACCTTTTGCCCAGGGACAAGACGAAAAGAAAATGTTTATGGAAAGTTAGCTCAGTGGGGATCTGAGCGGCAAGTACAAATGGAAGGAGACCAGTTAGGGATTGGTTGTCGCCAGGATTAGTGTGGTGTTCTGCTGGTACACAAAAGTGACTCATTTCAGATCAATTCAGAGGGACCAGGGATTTAGCTCAGTGGTTTTGCCCCCTGCTGCGCAAGCTCAAGGACCCGAGTTTGATCCCCGGTACCAAAAAAACAAAAACAAAAAAGAGTGAGATCAATTCAGAGGAAGAATAAGCAAGATTTTGTTACTAACTTGCTGAGTGGTGAACAGAAAAGAATAATTAAAAAGATGGCTGTAAACTTCTGAGCCTGAGTGGATGGGAAATGGTTGTACTTTGCTGGGGAAGATGGACAGGTAATCACAGGTCAATCATGAGTATTTGTACCAGCTAAAATTAGCAATATATTTGAATTTATTTCATTTTGCATATGTCTTCCTGACTCTTTGTTAAGTGATACACTTATATAAGCATTAGGAGTTACGTAGACAACTGATACTCTGCCCACACCTGAACCAAGTAGACGGTCATCATTTTTCTTCCCCTAGATTTATGTCGTTTTGTTTTTAAATTCCTGTTCCCACTGCCGTTACTGTATTTTAGCTATTATTCATATCTAAAGTCCTTTGATTATTTCTATTGCAGCCCACTTTTGTTATCAGAATAATCTTTCTAAAATACTATGGATGCTAGGCATAGTGACACATGCCTGTAATCCCAGCTACTTGGGAGCCTGAGGCAGGAGGATTGCAAGTTTAAGGCCAGTCTGGGCAATTTAGGAATATTCTTGAGAGTCTCAAAAATTAAAAAGAGGTCTGGGGATGTAGCTCAGTGGTGCCACCACCTGCCTCGCAAGCGCAAGGTCTGGAGTTCGATCCCTGGTACTGCCAAAAAAAAAAAAAAAGAGAAAGGGCTGGGCATGGAGCTCAGTGGTCTCGCCACAGGAACCATCCTCCTGGACCATCTCCAGTACTGTAAAAAATAAAATAAGAAAAAATAACAGTTTCCAGGTCACTTCTTGCTATAAAACATAAACCTCCTACTGCCCATTGGATACAGACTCTTCTCTCTGCCTTACAAAACTTTTTATATACTGGTTCTCACGTACCCACCTGTGTTTTCCCGGTGTGATCCAATATTAATTATGTAGATGCCCATGAAACCAAAAGGCCCAACTCCCCTTCTCCTTTGTCAGGTTCTGGTCTTGGTGCTCTTCGTGTCTAGCTTTGACCTCTCACAACCATAGTGTTCTCTTGGGAAATGAGAGCGTAAGTGTGCCCTGCTGCCTAGTGGGGTTGATAGGAAAGATAGTGGGTTGGAAGAAAGCATGTAATGACCTGCAGGTGCGGAGTGGCCTGATGCTGCTGCCTCTCTCTCCATGGCTCACTCTTTCTCATCCCTTCTTGCTATAGGGAAGTATGACAATTCCGTGGATGTCTACGCTTTTGGGATTCTTTTCTGGTATATCTGCTCAGGCTCTGTCAAGCTCCCTGAAGCATTTGAGAGGTGCACTAGCAAAGACCACCTCTGGAACAATGTGCGGAAAGGTAAGAGGCACAAGCCTGTCCTGCCCTGACTCCCCTGGCGAGAGCAGACTGAGCCCAGGCCCTGCAGCAGGGGCCCCGTCATCCTCTGGCCACTCCACAGCTGACCACATGCACACTTAGACCATCGTGGGGGCCCAGAAAGACACTTTTAAGTCACATCTTTGCTTCCAGGCAACACTGTATTGAACTAACTCAAAAGTGCTTTTTTTTTCTTTAAACTTTCCAATTCTTCAGTTTCCTATGCCAGTGTATTCCAATTTTTCACCACTGTTCTTATCAGGTTCTAACCTAGATGTCTGCAGTGGAAGTGAAAGCTTGCATCCCTTAGTATTCTGCACCCTGATTTGCATGATCAGCTCTTTGGATTGGACCCCCCTCACTGACTAGTCTTTGGGGGGCATGGTATGGGAATTGAACCTGGAGCCTTCACATTGAGTGACATCCCCAACCCTTATTTTTTGAGACAAGGTCTTGCAAAGTCACTAAGTTGCCCAGGCTGGATTCAAACTTGCAATACTCCTGCCTCAGCCTCCAGAGCCTCCCTGGGCTGGGGTTACAGGCACGTGCCATCGTGCCCTGCCCACTCACTGGACTTACGTGCGTGCTCCTTTATCTAGGGGCCCGCCCAGAACGTCTGCCCGTGTTTGATGAAGAGTGCTGGCAGTTGATGGAAGCCTGCTGGGATGGTGACCCCCCCAAGAGGCCTCTCTTGGGCATCGTCCAGCCCATGCTCCGGGGCATCATGGACCGGCTCTGCACAGCAAGTTTCGAGCAGCCACACAGAGGACTAGATGATTCTATTTGAAAGCAAAAACCTTTCTTCTGCACTCTGTTTCTTTTTTTCCCCTCACCTTTGGGCCACGGGGAGAATTTGACATTTATTCAATGAGGGACTTGGTGCTTGTGGGGCAGCTTGAGACCTTGAAAGCAGAGATGGCTCCCGGGCAGTGAGGAGCTGGACAGCTGCTGAACGGCTGGGGCAGTTCACTGATGCCCCACGCTATCCCTTCGGCAAAAGATTGTCCAAGATGTGCAGAAGTGGAACATGGGATGTTCTGGCCTCAAAACAGATGAGGCAGATGTTACCATTGTTCACTGTATTATGTTTCTAAGACAAGAAGTGCCGCACTGCAGTGGCAGTAGTGTTAAAAACATCATTTTCGGGCCGGGGGTTTAGCTCAGTGTTTCCGCCACCTGCCTTGGCAAGCACAAGGTCCTGAGTTCGATCCCCGGTACCAAAATAACACATCATTTTCATGATGTCAGCTCCAGCTAGAAATAGTTTGATTCCACCTAGTGGTTAGGACCACTTAGAAAATTTGAGCTTAGTTCAGGATTCTATGAACATAGGGACAAAAAAAAAAAATTGTGGTTGCCTGGTTCCTGCTGTCTAACCAGGGATCTCAGGTTGTAACAGTCCAGCGAGGGAGCTAGAAACAGGCTGTGTTCCTCACTGTGCCAGAGTGTTTACATTTACAGGGCCGTGCATCCCTGACTTCTAGGGGGAATTCACTGTTACATCACCAGGAAGCAAAAAAAAAATCACATGCATATGTATGTACATATGTATATAACCGGATGGATTTGAGTTACTGCTAACCCCAGAACGGGATCTGTTCTTCTGCCCGTGGGCCCCCTACACCCCTCTGCTGGTCTCAGGTGGGAGAGCTCCAGACCCAGAGCACATTGTACTCAGGAGTGAGTGTCTGAGCAGAACTGGCCCATTGTGAATCATGGGTGAGACCTGAGAGCAGAGGATCGTGCCCATGGCCTGTATACCAAGCTCCTAGAAGGGCACCAGCTGATTCTCAAACTTACAAAAAAACCCAGAAACTCTTCTGTGTTTGAAATTAACACACTAATGTTTTTAAAGCCTAACCAGTGGTTAAAAAGCCAAGGCTTATTCTGTCCTCTCCTTTTACCTTATTTTAAATATAATCTATTGGAAGAAAAAAGAACCAGCAACCCCTCCCCCCAAAAAAACAGACAAAAGAGAAGGCCAGTTCTGTGTGTCAGCAACTGGGAAGCACCCTGCCTCTGTGTCCGAGGATGGGAAACAGTTTAAACACTGGTGCATCTCAGGTCTTGATTTCAGGCCTTCTGCCACCAAGCTGTTGTTAGCTTTAGAAACACAGGTAGATGAAGAAATAGACATAGAGGAGGGCAGCCTCCATGCATCTGTCAGTCTCAAGGGCTATGGGCGGGCCTCATCCAGCTCCAGAGTGTGACGCAGGTCCCAGGTTTGAGTGTTACATCAGTGCTGGGGTTTTCTAGGGTTGTTTGTAACTGAATGACCAGGTCTTACATATTAACAAAGTATAAGTGGAGTGTATGATACATTCTTATCTAAGTTTTAGAGTTCAGTTTTAGAACTTTAACCATCCTGGGCTCTGATTACGATGTTGGAGCAAGTAGCAGTCTCAGCACACACAGCCCTTCAGGACTTTATTAATGCTGTACACCTTTTTACTTTCAAATGATAAAGTGACCGGCCAGCGTTTGTGGGGCATTGGCTCCAAGTTCATTTTGGTAGAATGTTCAGCACATCTCTTAGAATCTTAACACCTATTTATCCATACTTTAGTCGCTCTGCTCTCCTTGGCATTATCTTGTTGCCCTTCTGGGGTGATGATGGGGCTTCGGGAAGCCACGTGTCCAGTTAAGTAAGTAGGCTCTGCTTGTCAAAGAATCATTGTGCATCTGTTCTATGTGAGACTTCAAGAAAAGTCTTATAGTTAGTTCCCTTCTCCAGAACATGCTCTTAATTCTAGTATAACCAGGACTGTATACTTCCATTGTGAAGACCACATTCCTAACGTTCTTTGGAAGTCTTAGCTCAAACTCCCATTCACACATGGGAAGTTAATTTTTTTTCCAACCAGAATCCCTTTTCAGTTCATCTCCTGTGGCTCAGTCCACGCTCAGATACCAGTTTTCTAGCAGATTCCCTACATTTTTGCCTAGTGGAAAGGGCAAGGGGACTGACTAATACTAGGTGAGGAGATGAGTAGTTATTTTCATTATAAAAAAGTATTCTGAGAAAAGGTGCAAGGTATACCTGGAAGTGTCTGGCCAACCAAAGCCCACATGTGGATATTTGGGGCTGTTATTTAAATACTCAGCAGGCTGAGTGCAGGAATACGTATTTACGTGTGTATAATGTATTATGTATACTTTTGTTTTATAACATTGTTGGCTAATTTTGGATTTTTTGTTCCTTGGCACCCATTATTATTAAAATGATGGAATGCTATGAAAAGTACTGTATTGTATATTACTTGAGAAGACACGAGATGTTCTGAGAAGTGTGGCAGTACTTAGGTAGGCAGGGTACATCACAGCCAATATCAGAGGCTCTTACCTCTGAGCTTAGGTTGTTTGTGTTCCCAAGTAACGAGGTGAGATTGTGGCTGAGGGAGGAAGAAGGATGGCCTGACAGATTACCCTTACTGTGTCCAGTCCTTCTAAAAGACTTAATGAGGTCAGTTTACCCCGCCCCCAAATGATCACCTGGCCTTTTTTCATGAGCTCGAAGTCTGGTCACTCATTTGGCTTCAGAACCGAGTGAGAGGCCTTCCTGCAGAGCAATCAGAAGAAACCATGGTGACGCCTGGACTGGTGACCCTGTGCCTAGAAGCTCGCAGCAGTGTAGGTGAGCAGTTCTGGTCCAGAGGAGGGACCCACAGGCAGACCCTGCTCCCTGCTCCCTGCTCCCCTGCTCCTCTGCAGAATGGACCCTTGACTGAGCAAGCCTTCCATGGCTCTGGCAGGAGGACGTTGCTATTGTTCCCAGACCACAGTCACATCTGACTCCATCGACTTTAAGACAGAGCGTTGGCAGCAGCTGCTCATATATTTTTCTTAAAACACTAAAGTTCAAAGAAGCAGTAGAGGAAAAGATATGTTACTACCACAGACAGAAATAGGAAAATGGTAGAACTCTTGACTGGTATCTGTCAGCTCCCAGATGGACTTTTGTAATGTATTTGAGCTGCCAAAAGAGGGCTTGAGGGCCGAGAGGTAGCGCAGTAACAAAGAGTGCAGCCTCTCCTGTGCATGGCCTTGGGTTCCATCCCCAGCACCAAAACCCAAAACCAAACAGAGGAGTTGGGAAATGTTTCTCCTGATAGGAGAGTGGCTGGAGAGTCAGGGCTGAGAGGTGACAGCTATACTGAATGACACTGTTTTTTGGCTTACTATTTAGCACGGAGAAGCCCAGGGGCATTGGTGATTGCAGCAGCACTTTGGATACCCTGATTTGGGGAGAGGCCATGCTTGGTGTTCCACTGGGCCAATCAGGAAGCCTCTGAAGTCCAGTTTGAGAGCAGGACGAACGGCCCTGTGCATGTCCACTGCCAAAGAGGAGTTGCTTTCTTTGAACTTTTGAAGCTTGCTTTTTGAATTTGCTGGATCAAATAACTTGCTTTTCTTTAAAAGAAAATGAAGGGTGTATTCTTCAGAATATAGGGCTGGGAGTAGGTAGAGCTAGCTTGATAAAGAGGGTAAGGAAGGAGTGGCCTTGAGGTGTTTCTATCACAAATTCCCCTGGAGGTTTCAGATAGCGCCCGATGTTCTTAAAAGAGTTTCAGGTTTAACTTCTGCTTTGTTACCATCCCGTCCAGCTGGTGGCAGAGAGGTGAGAGCACTTGTCGTTGGGAGGCCAGCTTGCTGGGAAATGTGGTCACCAACAGCTTGTTGTCTTTTGTCTTTATGTTATGTATTTTTTGTTTGGGTTAAAGGACTAATGCTTGTTACAGTATTAAATAAAAGTGTAACATACTAAGTGTGTAGAGTAAAAGTGCAATAACAAAAGAAAAATACTTTGGCACAAACTCTGCTCCCTCCTTCCTCATGCTACCTGGCTCTGTCCATATTGTTACAGGAGGACCAGGTTAACTGTGTATTTTTAAGAGACGCAACTATGGCTTAAGTCTTTGCTTAGTGTAATTTTGAATGGTGGGATTTGGTTTTTATAGAGTATTCTATATAATTGTTAGGATGCACAAACACAGGATGTGCTGTATAATAAAGATCACATTAACATTTTAGTTTTGCATCTGTTTGGCTTTGGATTTCCTTTACTACCTCTGTTACCAGGATGGCTCCTAATCCATGCCATTTTCACTGCGACCTCCAGTCAGATGACTTTCAGTTTGCCTTAGGAGAAACAAGCAGACTGGTGACTCCCTGAGCAAGGTCTTCCCCAGTCCAGTGGTCCACTTTTTTTTTGGCAGTACTGGAGATCACACTCAGGGCCTTTGCACTGAGCTTTCTCTAGCCTTTGTTTGTTTGTTTGTTTTTGAGACAGGGTTTCACTAAATGGCTGTGTTTGCCAGGCTGGCTTAAATTTGTGATCCTCCTGCCTCAGCCTCCTAGAGTGTTGAGATTCTAGGCATGCACCATCATGGCTGGCTCTACTGATCCTCTAACTGGGTACACATTACATAGCACCACTAGAGGATGGGACAGGGGAATGAGAGATGGATGGGGTTGTGGAAAAGAGGGGCAAAGTGCATGACAGCATTTATTTCACAGCCTACCGTGGGGTGATGTCCTTTTCTCCAACTTATTTTTAGCATGAACTTGCAGCATTCCAAGTTCATATATGAGCCTAGCTGTTCTATACTACTTGGAGGGAATTTGGGGCTGCAATCTATATACCTGCCTATCTGCATTTAGAATATTCTGAGTCTTCTGTTTGGGCTCATTTTAACTGTTCTTGTTTGTTGGCTCAGCAGTGTCTGACAGGCCCCTGCAGCAGGGAGCCGTGTCTGGTCCCAGGGAGGCCGGCCAGCGTGCAGCAGGCCTCTTCTCTCATGGGCTGTTTGTTTTCATTTACCTCATATCATTTTGGGCATGTGTTGCTGCATCACTTTTGCTCTCTTTGTGATGTGACTGCAACACAGGGCTGACCAGGAGAGGAGATGGAGGCACATCATATGCTTGTGTTGCTTAAAGGAAAAGCTGAAGTTGATTCCCAGTAGTTCTCAGCCTCCACCTGCACAGTAGTCCTGTGATGCAGGGAAGCCTCATGTTATGGCTGGGGTCTAGATGTCCCTCAGAGCCTCATGTGGTCAAAGGTGGGGCTTTTCAGAGGTGGCTGGATCTAAGTGTGTGATGCTGGGATTAAGGGTGTGTGATTACTAAATTAGTCCACTGATGGGTTTGGCATAGCTCTGAGTGGGGGTAATGGGAAGTCCTACCCTAAGGGCATGTAGCCTGGATAGCACATAAGGGACAGAAAGAGGGCTGCTATTGTCACTTGTCGCCAGCTGCTTTTGCTGCCTTCTGCCTGCCATGAACTGTTTTTCTTCTGTGATGCCCCTCTGCCATGCCACCCTGCCCTGGAGCCAGGCAATTATGGACTGAAACCTCTACAAACTGTGAGCTGAAATAAACCTTTCCTTCTCTAACTTTGGATGTTGAGTATTTTGTCTCAGCAACGAGAAAAAGTAACTTAGACACCTCACAAGCTTGTGAAACTCTCCCAACTCAAGCCCCTCTTTACAGTTAAACTTGCTATCTTGTATGCGTATCTTCTCTATTCTCCTAGCATAAAGTTCAGTGTGATTGAGTTCTCCTGACCTCTTCCCTTCCCATTGTTACTTTGGGAAAAAATATATTGTGGTAACACATTTTGAACATGGTTTTTTAAGAACACATCCCTCAAAGCTGAAAACCTTCGCTCTAAAATCAGGTACAAGACAAGGATGTCCATTATCACCACTCCTGTTCAACACAGTCTTCCAAACATTAGCCAGAGCAATCAGGCATGAGAAAGAAAAGAAATGCATATAGGAAAGAACAAAATCAAAATAGTATTTGCAGATGACATGATCCCTTACTTACAAGACCCAAAAAAACCCCACCAAGAGACTCTTAGAATTGATAACCAAAGTCAGCAGTATAGCAGAATAAAAAATAAACACAAAAATCAGTAACATTTCTATGCACTAACAATGAACTCACTGAAAGAGCAATTAGGAAAACAATACCATTCAAAATAGCATCAAAAAAATTAAAAACTTATAAGTATTTAAGTCCTTGAGACAAGCAAGTTCTAGGAGAACGTTTGTAAGTCTGATTTGTTAGTAACCTGACAAAAAATGAGTCTTACACAGTATTCCTCTGAACGTTTGCAACTCAAATGTTTATCAGGGACTTACTATATTAACCTAACTAAGGAAGTGAATGACCTCTACAATGAAAAGTACATCAAACAAAGGAAATCAAGGAGGACATCAGAAAATGGGAAAATATTCCCTGTTCCTGGATAGGCAGAACCAATATAGTCAAAATGGCTATACTTCCAGAACTGATACACAGATTTAATGCAATCCCATCAAGATACCAATGTCATTTCTCACAGAGCTGGAGAAAACAATCCTAAAATGTATATGGAATCAGAAGAGATTCAGAAGAGCAAAAGCAATCCTGGGCAACAAAAGCAAAACAGGTGGCATCACAGTCCCAGACCTGAAGTTCTACTCTACAGGTAGTGAACAAAACAGCATGGAACTAGCATGAAAGCAAGCATGTGGGGCAATGGAACAGAAGAGAAGCAGCAAAAGCAACCCCAGGCACTTACAGCTATTTGCTCTTTGACAAAGGGACCAAAAACGTACACTGGGGGAAAGACACACACTGGAGGAAGGATAGCTTCTTTGTAAATAGTGCTTGAAAAAATTGGATGTTCACATCCAGAAAATTGAGTCTAGATCCATATATCTTACCAGGTACTAAACTAAACTAAAAATGGGTCAAAGATCTAAATGTTAAAACAGAAACAATCTGCTGGAAGATAAAATAGGTACAACTCTTGAAGACATAGGCATAGGCAAGGATTTTCTGAGCAGAACCCTAATGGCACAAGAAATAAAGAGAATCAGCAAATGGGATCATATCAAATTAGAAAGCTTCTGCCCAGAAAAGGAAACAACGAACAGAGTGAAGAGACAACCTACAGAATGGGAAAAAAATTGCTAGCTGTTCTATGAACAGAGGACTAACATCAAGAATATATAAAGAAATTAGAAAAAATTAGCCCCCAAATAAAACACCCAATCAAAAAATGGGTAACCAGGGGCCGGGGATTTAGCTCAGTGGTTCCGCCACCCGCCTCGCGAGCACAGGGTCCTGAGTTTGATCCCTGGTACCAAAAACCCCCCAAAAACTAACAAAAAAAGGGTAACCAAAATGAATACACACTTATCAGAAGAAGTACTAATGGCCAATAAACACCATACATGAAAAAATGCTAAAAAAAAAAAGGTCATCATTGCCGGCCATTAGAGAAATGCAAATTAAAACTATACTGAGAAAAAATATATACTAAGATACCATCTTATCCCATAAAGAATGGCTATCATCAAAAACATCTAATAATAATAGGATGATGTTGGGAAAAAGAAATTCTACATTGTTGGTGGGAATATAAAGTAGTATAATCACTATGGTAGAGATGCCTCAAAAAACTAGACGTAGAAATTTCATCTGACCTAGCTATCCCTCTCTTAGGTATCTTCCCAAAAGAGTTAAAATAATCATATTACAGGGATACGTGCATACCCATGTTTATAGCAGCACAATTTATAATAGTTGGATCTTGGAAAGAGCGTACATGTCAACAGATGAATGGAAAGGAAAATGTATTATACACAATGGACTACTCTGCTGCCATAAAGAAACATTAACTTGAGCCATTTGTAGGTAAATGGATATAACTTGAGAACATAATGTTAAGTGAAATAAGTCAGACACAAGTTCAAATATCACATGGTTTCTCTTACATGAGAAACATTATACATATATACTCATATATTCTCTTATATGAGAAATAAATATTTACAAGTAAAAAGCAAAATAGAAGAGAGAGAAACAGGAAGTAGGGAGAAGTTCAAATACTTCCCCAAATTACATATTCCATTATTTTAAAAATATTTCAATATATCTGCTAATTTGTTTCATTTATACTAGTAGTTTAGTTCATTGAAAAGAAAGTTTATGATCTGTTTGTTTCTCTTCTGTAAGAATCTTTTAGTTTATGTCTTTGAGTAACTACACTGAAGATAACAATAGACAGTGTAATAACTATTGTTATTCTTTTATTTGGTTATGAAAATTTGTTCTATTTTTTTCATAAAGTAAAAAAGAAAAAGTTAAAACTTCCTAAAATTAAAAAAACCCCCATAAATTAGAGGGTAGAGCAGACTACAAGAGAATATTAGCAAAATACTTTCACACAGACAAAAACAAAAACCAAAAGACACATCCCTCAGCAGGCTTGTCCCAAGAGTAGGACAACCTGGGTGGCCTTCCCAATGCTATGCTTGGGAAAGTCTCAGAGGGCAGAGGCCTCCAAGTTTCTGAACATTATTAAATTTAACTTCAAATTTTCTGTCTTTAACGGGATTCTGAGGATTCCACAAAATGCCATTTAAATAGCTACCTTTCAAAACAGAGCAGCTATTAAATGGGGGCCATGTACTGTCCTGGTTACTTTGTCATTGCTGAGACAAAATACCAGATACCTAAAGTTAAAGGAGGAGAGCTTGTTGTTTTTTTTTAAGTTCATAGTTTGCAGAGGTTTAAGTCCATAGCCAGCTGGCTCCAAGTCAGGGTAACGTGGCAGAGGGGCATGACAGAGTAGAAACAGTCCAAGGCAGGCCAGACAGGAAGCAGCAGTCTGCTTCCATCTTTCTTTTTATATTCCATCCAGGTTATAAGCTTATTGATTGGTGTAGTCCATACCCAGGGTGGGGCTTCCCATTATCAACACCCAGAACACTAAGCCAATCAATGGACTAATCTGTTTATCACACCTTTGATCTACATTCATACACCCTTAATCCACATTCACACGTTAGATCCAAACAATTCCAAAACGCCCATGAGGCTTTGGGGAGACATCTAGATACAGGCCATAACATGCCTCTTAGGGCTCTTCTAGGAATAGCTTGTTTCTTAGATATTCTGAAGGTAGCATTTCAAGTCAGTGGAAAAAATAGACTTAATAATAAAACTGGCTGAAAACTTGTCTTTGTACCTG